GGATGGGGAGGGATGGGGGACGGGATGGGGTGGGATGGGGGGCAGGACGGGGCGGTCCCACAGGACCCCGCAACCGCCCTGGCAACGCCCCCCGCCCGGCTCTCCTGCGGGGAACCCCTGGGGAGGGACCCCCAGTGCAGCAAAGGAAGGCAACGGGCCCCCCAGATTTCTTAGTTGAACCCCACAATTAAAACAAACAAACAAACAAACAAACAAACACAAGGATTCTCCAGCGTTCGGGGTGAATTCTTGACGCGCATTGAAACGTCACGACCAAGGCAGGGCAGGAGCTGTTAATATTCAGCTTTTAATAGTCAGTGCAAACCCGGGTCCTTTACAAAAACGCTGCCTGCAGAACACGTGGCGTTCACATTTCATCTCTTCAAGGCCTGAAAATCAGGCAAAACGACCGTGCTGCTCCCAGTGCTGTGCAGAGCAGCTGGTTGTGTCCTCAGGAACAACCCCCAGCACTGGCTGTGGGTGCTGGAGCTCCAGGGGGAACAGGAGATAAACTGCCACCTGTGAAGCCCTCCTTAAAAGGTGCTTTCTACCCCAGCTCCCATTTGTGCTGGGTACCAAAGGGCTGACCCACAGGTCAACAGAACTGACAGAAAATCACTGAATGTCCTGGGTTGGAAGGGACCCCTAAAGCTCCTCCAGTCCAACCCCCCTACAATAAGCAGGGGCATCTCCAACCAGACCAGACTGCTCAGAGACCTTGAATGTCCCCAGGCCTCCACCACCTCTCTGGGCAACCTGTTCCAGTGATCCACCACCCTCCTCTTAAAGAGCTTTTCCCCAGTGTTCAACCTAAATCTACCCTTTTCTAGCCTGAAACTGTTACCCCATGTCCTACCATGACATGCCCTTGTGAACGTGACCAAGTGGAAGCAAAGTGCTCTGAGGCAGAACCACTCCTAGTTATGCCCATGGGAAAACTGGTTGAAGTTGATGGATATGCAAATTTGCACCTCTCTGGGCCCAGCAGCTTCAGTTTAGTGCCTGTGCAGGTTCTGTCCTGCTGGGTGAGGAGAACTTCAGCCCCTCACACTGTGGATGCCATGACAGGCTTGTTCACTTACATCGTTTTACAGCAGAGGACCTGGTGGAGTCTGGACCTGCTAGAAAACCTCTCAGGTCCTGAACTATAACCTGTATTTAATAATGTTTCTAAAAAGTCCTTATTTCTTCCTGTGATGTGGAGGACTTGGCTAGAAGGGAAACCAGTGCCCCTTTCTAGTTCTGGTAGCAGCAGCTCAGTGCAAGAAGGTAGGAAACTGCTGCTCAGCATGAGCAGGGTCTGGATCTGTGTCCTGGCTGCTCCTCTGCCAGCTGGAGGGTCCTGTGCCTCCCACTCCTGAAAGCAAATCCTGTGCCCATTCAATCCCTCTCAGCCCAAAGGACAGGTTTTCATGCTGGGCATGGAGTGCAGAGAGGAACTTGGGAGGAGCAGGAATCCTTGGAGCTCAAAAGAACCAGCCCTTCCAACAGCAGGATCCTGGAAGCATTACAAGTGAAGTGCCTTCTCCTGCACACCCAAGAGCCCCACTGAGGTCAGCTGCACAGCATGGGCAAAAAGTGCCTTTTCAGGTAGAAAAATACAGTCTATCCATGATTTTAAAAGAGGGGCTTCTCCTGCCAAAGTTACTCTGGCCTCACAACAGCCCTGCTGAGCATGACTGGATGGGTGTGTGCTCCCTGTAACTGGGGCTCATGGCTAAGGCTGAGAGTATGAAAGAAGAAAAAATGGAGGAAGAGCCCAAAAGCTCTTTCTGAAGTTGACCAGGACTCGTTCCCAGAATCTCAGGCATGCAGACAGCTGCTGTGCTCGAAGGACAACTGCCCTAAATATAGTCTGTGGCTTTTAAATGGCTCCCTGGCAGGCAAATTCCAATTTTTCCTTGTTTCATTTTCAGTCAGAGCCTCACTAATCACCTCTGTGCCTGCTGGGGGAAGGATGCATGCACTGTACAGCCCTTCAGTGAAGGAAATTGTTCTGTACCCCCAGTTAATTCTGCATTTCTGGCCTCAGTGTGCTGGGCATGGCTCTAGAACACTGCTTTTTGGGAAAAGGGGTGCACACAGTGCATGGCTGCATGGCAGCTGTTGGGAGGAAGACATTGCAATAGATAACTGTGAAAGGTTTCGTGCCCTTCCTTCACAGTCTCATCCACCCTCTCTACACTACAGAATTCCCTCAACAGTGCCATAAAATCCTGTGGCAACACCTCCTGTGTCCCAGTATTGAATCCTGTGTGCCAGGTTCCCAAGTCCAGCTGCTGAGCTGCCCCACAGCAGGAGCTGGGGTCGCAGCCTTCACCAGCCAAGGAGCAGCTCTGTCTTCTCAGTGCTGAGAGCAGAAGGGCTGCCAGCTCCACGGGCAGCTCTTCCCAGGAGAAGAGGTGGGTCTTGTCAGCAGAATCAGATAGGAAACAACTCACTCCTGTGAGAATAAATACGTCTGTGCCCTCCAAGGAGAAATGCAGGTGGAAGACACAGCCTCTCTGCACCTCCCCAGGGAGATGTGTCCGTGAGGTGTCCACGCACCTACAGCACCTTTCAGCCTGTGAAACCCTTTAGCTGCTGAAGGAGGAGAGAGCCAGGCAGGCAGTTACACCAGGGTCCCGTTCTTGCTGTCGTACTTGAGGCGGGGCCGGGGGAAGTGCAGGGTGGCATATTCCGTGGCATTCTGTACCTGCAGGCTCCTCAGCTCGGCTGCAGGGCGTTCCCGGGCCCCGCTGAACACCTGGATGTCTGCGTAGTGGATGCTGTCATCCTGCTGCCCACCCTGCCCTTTACCCACCGGGGCATAGACAGGGAGCTCCGGGACATCTTCGTACGTCGGAGCCTTCGGGGAGAAAGAGCTCTGGGAAGGTCAGGGCCAACATTCCTTCCCTCCCACCATCCAGCCCTCACTCTGACAGCTCAGGCTCAGGGAGACACTTCATCCCACTGCTCCCACTGCACTTCAGGGGGGTAAAAACGGGGCTGCCTCACCGTGCAGCACGGCAGGGTGTTCCCACAGGAGTCTGCACAGGACGGGGCAACTCACAGCTCTGCCCCGTGTCCTCCCAACCCATCTAGCCTAGGAGGTGATGCTCAGCTCTGCCTTCTCACCACACAGCTAGGAAAGCACCTCTGGGAAGCTGTTTACCTTCCTGTCGGGCTGGGGCTGTTGGCTCTCATCTCTCACATGAGCTCCTGAAACAGAAACACCAGCAGGTGAACCCAACCCTGAACCGTTCCACCCTTGCACAGCAGAAATGCAGCGTCTGGCCCATGGGCTCTCCCTGCCAGACACAAATAAAACTCCCACCTCAGCTGACAACCTCCACCCTGAGGCTGCCTCTGATGCCCTCCCCCAAGAAGAAAGCCTAGCCTTGTTTCTTTGGAAAAAAACCCAAGGTTTCCCAGGATGACAACATGCTGTGGGCTGCAGTGTTCTTGGCAGGACCTAAGAGGACAGTCACAGCACAGAGAGCCTCCTTGTCAGGCCCTTGGAGAAGTCAGATCCAGACCTAATTTTATTTCCTTTGCTGCCTGGAAAACATATTTTGCCCAGCATGGTCCAAAGGCCACAACTGGGCTGCTTAGGGGACACACTTGACTCTGGAAGGCTGATGTCAGGTGGGTGTTTGCAGCTCTTGCAGCAGTTTGGGTCATGCTGCCCCTTGAGAGGACTCACCTGTGTTCTGAAGTGAGACTGGTATTTTAAAGATACTGCTGAAGTCCCCTTGCCCAGTCCTGTGCCACATCACACCCCTTGCTTGAAGTTTTTTAAAAAATCTTCCCTTTTGCTTCTACCCAACTTCTCTTGAGGAAGGTTAAGTACAAAAGAGGGGACCTCAGCCTCAGATGGCCAATCCAGTCAGCACTGACCAATACCAGCAAACCAGGGGCTCAGTCACCCCAGTTCTTCTTGTCCTCCACACGATTTTCACAAATCCTTACCTTGCTTTTCCTTCTTCCTTTTAAAAGGCACAGGGCAACTCCTGAAAGCAGAGAGAGGTGTCAGTCCTGAGAATCCCCAGCCCCTGCTTTCAGAACGGGCAAACCCAGCTCCACCACCCCA